ACATCTTACTAATGTCCGTATTGATTAGGTCCCTGGCAGTCGGTACTGCCTCTTGTTCTTTTTTTTTGAGGTGAGTTTTTCCGTCCTGTCATCTTGTCCAGAGGAGAATAGATGAATGAGAGAACAAAGTGGTAACATGGTAACAATGACCCCAGAAAAATATACACTAAACAAATCAGAAGAGACCTTAAACTGGGGCAAAAGAAAGGGAAAGAAAGAAAGAAAGAAGAAAAAGTTGTAGTGGTGGTAATTCATTACCAGGGAGGAGCTTTTTATCTGTTCCAATGCCAACAAGGAAGATGGTATTTTCTGAGAAGTTGATATTGTAATGAAATATTGTTATGTGGAAGACCCTAATACATTCCTGAAACAACAGTTTTTCTTGTAGTTCTCAAAATAGAATGTTGTCACAGCTTTTACAATTATTTTTTTCTTTTATCTCAGGGACATAGTTAAAACAGTGAGGATAAAGTCATTTAGTCAGTAAAGAATTCTATGAAGAACACTAATTCACTGGTAAAATTGGGGCTGGAATGCAAGAACTAGAGAAGTGGGAAGAAAGGAAACATCAAGATTTTGTTAATCTAAAAAGACTTTATGAGTTAAGTTTGGGTTAGAATCGGAGTAAGCAGAGGGGCGTAGAAATCCCATTTAGGATGGGGAATTGGTAGAACACATTTAATTCCTGGTTAATGAATTAACAATAAATGTTTGTTTGCTGTCCTGATATTGGAGCTGAAATTTGGCAGCATGGTACAATGGGATGAGCATGGGCTTTGGCTTGATATCTTGAATCTTGGATTGGTCCTGCTAATTGTATAATTTTAGACCATCCATTGAACCTGAGTGAATTCTGTTTTGTTAAGTGCTGTACTGTTTGGAATATGTTGGTTAGGATCTGAGATAATGAGTTAACTGCTATAGGAGACATCAGAAAATACAAATTCCTCTTTTTTATTGCAAAATGTTACAAGAAACTGTACATTTTATTTACTGTGTAAAATTTGTGTGTGAAGCTTGTGTGTAAAGCTGTTGACACTAATCCAGCAAGAAGCTGCTAGGACTTAAAAATCTTTTACTGTGCATGGTCTTTTGCTTGTAAAGATAAGTGTATTAGTTTTCTAGGGCTGCTGTAACACATACCCACAAACTGGGGTGCTTAAAACAACAGAAATGTATTCCTCATGGCTCTGGAAGCCAGAAGTCTAAAACCAGTGTCACTGGGCTGAAAGGAGAGTGTCATTCCCCCTGGGAGAGAATCTGTTCCTTTCTTCCAGCTTCTGGGGCTGCTGGCATTCCTTAGCTTGTCAGTCTTCAAGGCTAGCATCTTCAAGTCTCTGTCTTCATACGGCCTTTCCTCTTTGTGTCAAAGTTATCTCTGTCCCTCCTCGTAAGGATACATGTAATTGCACGGGGGGGCCTGCCCACCTCAGCTCTTCAGTGTAATCACTTTTCTTGCCATATGAACATTCACAGGTTCCAGGTATTAGGACATGGATATTGATGGTATTTTTCAGCCTACCATAGTAGGCAGTGTCATGTAATTTGATCTAGTAAGTCGTAAGATTTCTAAAATTCTTCTGTTTGTGTGTAGTTTCTCAATGCTCAGAGACCATGCCATGCAGTTCAAAGTACGGCCAGTGGAATACAAAGATAAAGAAGACATTTCCTGCCCTCAGGAAACTTCTTAGAGGAGCCAGAACACCTCAGTAGGAAGCTTGTACTTTTCTAGACAGTGGAGAACTGGCTGAAAGTGGTTGGCTTGGTTAAGCCATGTTTTAGGAAGATCATTGATGATGTGTGTGGAGTACAGTGATGAGGGAAGTATGAGAAGGATGATGGCTGCATGTGAGTGAATGATTTAAGGCCTCAAGAAAATGTTGGTGTGATGGTGTTCAGAAAGAAAGAGAAAGATGTCAAGGTGCATCCCAGAGGGAGTGTGCTGTTAGTTTTATTGAGCCATAACTGACAGTAAGATTTCACTGTTTTTAACTTGTCAGTTGACAAATATTTACAGTAGTGTAAGCACCACTGCAATCATGATCTAGAACCTTTCTGTATTCTTAAAAAGTTCCCTTGACCTCCTTTGCAGTCAGTTCCATTCCTGGACCTCTGGCAACCACTGATATGCTTTCTGTCACTATGGTTTGCCTTTTCTACAGTTTCATGTGGGATTATATGGTATGCAGTCTTTTGTGTCTGGCTTCATGAACTCAGCATGTTGCTTTTCAGATAGTATGTTAATGTGTCAGTAGTCTGTTCCTTTTTACACAGGAGTAGTATTCCATTGGATTTCTGGACTACCGTTTGTGTCCATTCACCAGCTGGAAATTTGAGTTGTTCCGTTTGTGTGGACATGTTTTCATTTCTCTTGGGTAAATGCCTGGGAGTGGAACTGCTGGGTCACGAGGCAGGTGTATGATTAACTTGGAGGAACTGTCGGACTCTCTTCTCAAGTGGCTGTGCTGCTGTGTAGTTCTCACCTTGGCATCTTTGCCAGCACTTCCATTTTAGCCGTCTAGCAGGTATGCACTGCCAGGTCAGTGTGGTTTTAGTCTGCATTTCCTTAATAACTAGTGATGTGCATCTCTTTATTTGTGTACTTTATTTGCCATGCATTTATCTTCTTTGGTGAAGTGTTCAAATTTGTGGCCCTTTTTTATTGAGTTGTCTTATTATAGTGAGTTATAAGAGTTTTTAATATAGTCTGAGTAGAAGTCCTTTGTTGGAAATACACATTCCACGTATTTTCTCCTTGTCTGTTGCTTGCCTGTTCATTTTCTTATGTGTTTAAAGAACAAGTTTTGAAATTTATAATGTCCAGTTTATCAATTTTTTTTCTCTTACTGATTCTTTTTATCCAGTTTAAGAAATCTGTGCCTCATCTGAGGCCACTAATATGTTTTTCTGTTTTTCAGTCTAGAAGTTTTATAGTTTTAACCCTTACATCTAGATGCATGAACTTTGGCATAGAGTGGTGCATAAGGGTTGGGGCTCACTTGTTCCATATGGATACTCAGTTGTGCCCACTGTCCTCTCCTCATTGAAGTACCTTGGCATGGTTGTCATTCCACCTGGCTGTGTATGTGTAGGTCCGTGTCTGGGTTCCAGGCCACCCACAGCTCTGGATGTCTATCTTGATGCCGATAGGATATTGTCCCGGTTACTGCAGGCTTGTAATGGGTTTTTTCAAATTGAATCACGGAAGTGCGCACCTTTCTTACCTCCCCCCCACCCCAAATTGTTTTGGCTGTTCTTTGTGTTACCATATAAGTTGTGGAATCATCTTGTTAAGTTCTGCCAACAAAAATCGGCTGAAATTTTTATTGGGATGATGTTGAATCGTAGATCAATTTGGGGAGAATTGAAGTCTTTTTTTTGGTAAGATTTATTTATTTGAGAGAGAGCGTGAGTGAGCATGCATGGAGGGAGGGGCAGAGGGAGAGGGAGAATCTCAAGCAGACTCCCCGCTGAATGCAGAGCCCAACGCAGCCTTGATCCCAGGACCCTGAGATCATGACCTGAGCCGAAATCAAGAGTTGGACACTCAGCCACCCGGACACCTCAGAATTGATGTCTTAACAACAGTGAGACTTCTGCTCCACGAGCATAGCATAACTCTCCATTTATTGAGGTTTTTAAAATTTCTGTCAGCAATACTTTATGGTTTTCAGTGTGCAGGTCTTGCATATTTTTTTGTTAAAATTTATCCCTAAGTAGTTCATGTATTTGTTACACTATTGTAAATGGATTATCACAGTTTATACATAGATAACCCAGAGCTTTCAAATCTGGATAACAGTTGAAATGGAAGTAGCCAAGAGGAGTTTGATTTGAGGAAGATGTGAAGTTTGATTTGGGGCTTGTTGAGTTTGTAGTACTGGGAGGTTATCCTCCAGGAGGGACTGTTGAGAGATTTGGAGCTACTTACAGGGAGGTGACAGTAAAATATGGGTGTGCATGAGACCTTCAGGAAAAAAAGTTTAGAGTAACTTTAGTTCTAGGTCTGAACCTTGCAGGGCTGCTTCCTCTTAGGGAGTAGGTAATCAGACTAGTCGCCAAGAAGGCTGTCTGTAATAAAGGCAGGGGAGACCTGGGGTGCAGAGTTCAGGAGCCAATAACAAAGGAATTTCAAGAAGAATGGGCTGATGGAGAGTTGGACACTGCAGAGGTGGAGGACCTTGAAGGATAAGGAAAAGGTAATTGAAGTGGGTTATTTTACATTCTAAGACTGCTTCAGTAGAGTGGTGTGGGCAGAAAGCCACATTTCGGAAGACTGGGGAGGTGCGGAAGGAAGCAGTGAGTAAAGCAGACTCCCTTCAGAAATTGGTGCATTCAATCAAGAGCGGAACAGTGTGGCAAAATGTGTTTGGGATAGGCTGTGAGAGCATGTTTATAAGGGTAGGAGATGAGCCTGCAGAGAAGGGTGTCTTGAAGATGCAGGGGTGTCTTCCATGGCACAGGGCTTGGTTAGGGGAGGTGAGAAGACAGATTTCTAGGCATTTAGGGCAGATTAACGCTTCTCTTTTATTTGGCTCTGGGCATCATTTTGATACACTGATTCTTTAAAAATCATCTAGAACAGGGGGTTAGTCAACTATCGCCTGTGTGCCAGATCTGACCTGAGACTTATTTTTGTACAGCCCTTGAACTAAGAATGAATGAATGAATGAATAAATAAATATTTTTGTAATGGTTGAAGAAAAAAATCAAAAGAAGACTGTCTCATGGCATGTGAAAATTGGATGAAATTCAGTTTTCAGTGTCCATAAACAAATTTTGGGGGAGAACAGCCCTGCTTGTTCATTTATGCTTTGGCATTACAATGGCAGAATTGAGTAGTTGCCCACGGAGCCCAAATTACTGTCTGGCCCTTCCCCCGAGAGTTTGCCAAGGCCTGACTTAGAAGGAAGAGTCTTATGCAGACTACTGCTAGTTGCTTTTCGGAATTTCCCATGGCTTGCTGATTAAATATATCTATACGTATATGTATAGATGTATGTATATATAGGCTAGTCATCGAGAACGCAAGTTTTTGTGTCTTACGCGTTTTTTATTAAGTCAAGACTGATGAACTGTCAGCTCATTGAGATGTCTGACCTCAGACTGCATTGGTGAAGAGCACATGGGTGTTTATTATCTGGACAGAAACATGATAAACTTATAATGCAAACTGCTGACAGTCTTCACTGATACTTAGCATAGCCATGTTGGAACAATAGGTTGTATATGTTATATAAATTTCCAGGTTTGTTTTTCTAAAGCAAAGTTGGAGGAAGAGGAGGGAACTCCAGCTGAAACCAGCCACTTGATGAAGTAGTAGTTAGAAACCAGACACGGCTCGAAATGATTTAACGTGACTTAATTCCTCCTTGGCAAAACCCTGAGATACTATTATTATTTCCATTTCCACCGAGAAAACCGAAGCACAGAGAGCACTAACTGCCCGAGGTCACATGGCTAGTAAGTGGGCAGGCTGGGTTCCAGCTCAGGCAAGTGAGGCTCCAGAGTAATGCTCTTGAGGACTAGATTCCGTTGCCTCTCTAAGGATTGTAATAGTAACAAACATTCGCTGACCACATACTGCAGGGCAGGTACCCTTCTAAGGTCATTATATGTATTAGCACATTTAACACATTTACCGATGAGAATGAGGCATTTAGTTTTAGATGTCCCAAGTCGGAAGTGTGGGGCCAGAGTCTGATCCCAGTTAGTCTTGCTCCAGAGCCTGTGGCTTCACCGCCGTCCCCACTGCCCCGTGCTGTGAGTTCTGTCTTCGTTATTGCTCCGAATGGTAACCTTACGCTTTTTCCTCTACAACTCTTAACAGCCTGATGACACTTCAAGGACACGTTTGCGTGGTTTGCAAGCAGACAGTATTCCCACTGGAGAGCATCTTGGCCGAGCGTGCTCTCTCGTGATACAAGAAATGGTGTGATGGTGGTGGTATCACGGAGAGGCGCACTTGTGATCTGGGTTTCCCGAGAGGGAGGCTGCCGAACATGTGTGATTTTGCGAATAAGAGCCCTTAATCACCCTGAAGCCCTTCTTTTATCTTGCCTCTTCTCTGATGACAATCTGTATGTCTTCTGTCAGTGTCCAGGCAGCCAGAATTTTGTGTCAGCAATTCTGGAGAGAGATTAGGGCTGTTGCAGTAGATTTTGGAATTGTGTGTGGATAACTGATAGCCAAAGAAATTTGTACGGATTCCTTGAGAAAATGATTGAAACAGAACTTTTATGATCTCCTCATTTTAAGGGTTAGATAAAGGAATCAGCGACTTTTTATTCTGGAAGGCAAATGTGCTCATAATTCAGTATCCAGATTCTTTGTGACTGTTTTGTTTCACCCCTCCTGTTAGTGAGCTCCCTGTAGGTACTAGGTTGGTGCTACATTGTTTGCAAGGGGTGCAAGCTAGACTGTCTTTTTAAAGAAACTCTCCAAGAGGCAATTCCTAATATACTGTAATGCTTAGTGCATAGTAGGTGCTTCATAAATAAAGATTGATAGTTTAAGTGAAATGGAAATGCACAGTTGTTTACTGATGCCATAGTCTTGATGGTTTGGAGCTCTGGAGGAGCAGAATACTTAGGTTGGCTAGAATGTGGCAGGGTTCAGTTTGCCTTGTGGAAGAAGAATCAGCGGTCCAGGGGCACCCGGGTGGCTCAGTCGTTAAGCGTCCGCTTTCGCCTCAGGTCATGATCCCAGGGTCCTGGGTTCAAACCCTGCATCAGGCTCCTGCTCAGCGGGAAGCCTGCTTCTCCCTCTCCCACTCCCTCTGCTTGTGTTCCCTCTCTCGCTGTCTCTCTCTCTGTCAAATAAATAAAATCTTTAAAAAAAAAAAATTGTTTTCCATAATCTTTAAAATGTGTATAAAACTATATATTTGCTTTATAACTGCAAATAGAATTAAAATTCAAATATTACAAGGCTTATAGCAAAAAATAAATTGTGCCATCCCTCAGTCCTCCCCAGACCACTTTCTTCTCTCTCTGGTTACCTCTATGTGACATTGCTTATGCTGCCATTTTTGATTGATCAGTGGTAGTGACTTCTTACTGTAGTATATTAGGAGTTGCCTCTCTGAGAGTTTTTTTTAAAGCACAGCCTAACTTGCACCTCTCCAAATGAATAATAGTGATGCTTTTTAAAGTATGTCAGGCTTTGCCTTTCGGTGTGGGGATTGTCAGTGCAGACTTGCTGTCTGAGGTGACGCAATATTTAAAGTGGCTCATTCCATATTTCTCAGTATTTGCTCCTCTCTTTGGACTTTTATCACCTCACACTTCTCATAATGTCCTGTTGATTTGCCATGACTTTCACTGATCAATTTTAGATCCTAGGTCAATGAAACATTTGAATCCCATTCTGATTTTCATGACGCAAAAAAAATGTTGTGTAAACCTAATGTTATAATAGTTTAAACTATTTATCCGGTAATTATGTCACTGTGGAATGCAGGCAGGTGGAGGAAATGCTGACAGTCATGAGTGCACACGTGAATCACAGTACCATTGTCATTTAGTTCTGCAAGAGCACCATGAAGCAACCCCTCCACCCCCATTTTACAGATAAACTGAAGCTCAGAGAGATGAACTTGCCTCCAGCTCCATGGCTAATTACTAAAACGATTTGGAGTTTGACTCCCAAAACTCACTATAAGTGTCTATCAGTTGTTTTTAACTTTTTAATTGGAGCCTAAGACACATGTGGAAAAGAGCAAATCATAATAAGTGTAGAACTCAGCGAATTATCAAAATGAAATATCCATTAATTACTCAGTTAAACAGATAAGGATGTTAGCAGCACCGCAGAGGCCCTCATGTTCCCTCCCAGTTAGTCCCCTCCTGCTGTTCCTCCCAAGGTAGCCACTGTCATGACTTTTTTTTTTTTTTTTTAAAGATTTTTTATTTATTTTTTGACAGAGAGAGGCACAGCGAGAGAGGGAACACAAGCAGGGGGAGCGGGAGAGGGAGAAGCAGGCTTCCCGCCGAGCAGGGAGCAGCCTGATGCAGGGCTCGATCCCAGGACCCTGGGAACATGACCTGAGCCGAAGGCAGACGCTTAACGACTGAGCCACCCAGGCACCCCTCACTGTCATGACTTCTGACACGTAGATTCGTGTTGCTTCAGTGCTAACAGGTTTTGAACAGAATTTGATATGACTCTTGATTGTCTGTCCTTTTATACTTTCTGTTACCACATCTGGAAATTCAGTGCTAGTTTTTCTTATTTCTTTCTGTACAGAAAAAAAAAGTATAAATTTCACACCTTATAAAAAATTTATTAACTTAATGCTTTGTGCTAAATAATTCTCCTTTTGTGGTTAATAATTACAATTCTTGGCTTGTTAGTCAAAGCCACTGTGAAGAACTCTTCAAAACCAGTGACCTCTGTAGATCGTCACACGAGAGTAAAAGCATTAAGACTGAGTCCTACCTAAGGGCTTTTAGTCCTACCTACGTCCTACCTAAAAGGCTTTATTTACCTGAGGGCATTACCTGTAAATGCTATGTGCTGATACTTTTAAAATACTGTAGTAGGGGGGCGCCTGGGTGGCTCAGTCGTTGAGCGTCTGCCTTCGGCTCAGGTCATGAGGCCAGGGTCCTGGGATTGAGCCCCGCATCGGACTCCCTGCTCAGCGGGAAGCCTGCTTCTCCCTCTCCCACTCCCCCTGCTTGTGTTCCCTCTCTGTCTCTCTATCAAATAAATAAATAAAAAATCTTTAATAAAATAAAATAAAATAAAATATTGTAGTAGGATCATTGTCAGTACTGTTTCCTTTAGCCAGTGGTTTTGAAAGCAGTATGTTGTTTAAATACATGTAGGCCAAATAATTGCAGTATTTTGGGAAAGGTATTCTAGGAATTGTCCTCTGATATGTAGCTCATGAGCACAGTGATCAGTTTAGCAGCTATAATAAGTACATTTTCATCTTGCAGGTGCCTTCTGCTTTGTTTCCCCAGGAATACTGACTTACCCCTGAGACTCACACCCAGCTTTGTGACTCCAGGCATTTATGTAACATAGATCCTCTGGAAGAGAGGAAAAATGTTTCCTACTCTATGTATGAAAAAAAGTCTATTAGTATTTGTACAGATTTCTCTTAAAATATTTTTTTCTAATTATGAAAGCAGAACACATTTGTTACAGAATACCTGAAATGTGCAGAGAAGTGCAGTAATTCCCCCCTCAGTGAGATCTGCTAATGTTTTGTGGTATTTGTCTTTTTACTTCTTACACACGTGGATATTTATAATAAAATTGGAATTATAAAATATATTTAGTTTCACTGCCTGCTTTTTTGTTAATATATATATTTTTTTAAAGATTTTATTTATTTATTTGAGACAGAGAGAATGAGATACAGAGAGCATGAGAGGGAGGAGGGTCAGAGGGAGAAGCAGACTCCCT